GTGCACCCATGTTTATAGCAGCACAGTTTGTAATAGCTAAAGCTTGGAAACAGCCCAAGTGCCCATCAACTGGAAACTGGATAAAGATGTGGTTTTTTTAATAAAGTGGAGTACTACTCAGTCATAAAGAACGAGAAACTAGAGACATTTATAGCTAAGCGGATACACATTGAGGCCATACTCTTAAGTGAAATAAGACACACATGTGTAAATAATGAATCGTTTTTCTAGTGTGAGAAATTGAAAGTGTAAATAAGGATTTAAAAATGATTAAAATGAATAACTGATAATATGAAATAAGAAGAAAAAGTCCAAAGGGGCAGGAGAAGTGGGAGGGGTAGGGGAAAGGAAAAATTATGAGAAAAGGATAAAATGGAAACAAAGTCTCTGTAAATAGGGAAGGGTGGAGGGGATGAAGGGAGGGCAAGGAATGGGGCAAAAATAAGAAACCAGATGCATCATGCAAAGGTACAAGTTCCCAATGATAAATGTAAATGTATTGTATACCTAAAATGTACCAACAAAAGAATTTAAGGGAAAAAAAACACTGAGATTCCACCTCATCCCAGAAATAGCTGCTATCAAGAAATCAACCAATAATAAATGCTGGAGGGGCAGTGGGGAGAAAGGAACCCTTCTCCACTATTGGTGGGAGTGTGGAGCGGTGAAACCACTGTGGAAATCAGTGTGGAGATTTCTCAAAAAACTAAAACTAGAGGTTCCATTTGACCTAGTTATACCTCTCCTTGGTACGTCCCTGAAAGAACTGAAAGCATCATACCACAGCAATACATGCACACCCATGTTTATAGCAGCAGTTTGTAAGAGCTAAATCTAGGAAACAGCCCAAATGCCCTTCAACTGATGAGTTGATAAAGAAGATGTGGGTTTTTTTATACAACAGAGTACTACTCTGCCATAAAGAAGGGTGAGAGTCAGACATTTATAGCTAAATGGATGGACCATGAGACCAGAGTCTTAAGTGACATAAATCAGAGACCCATGTTTAAATATCACATTATTTCTCTAGTGTGAGAAACTGAAAGTGGAAATAAGGATTGAAATGTATAATGGACATTGGGAAATGGGAGGAAAGCGTTCAAATGGGAAGGGAAACAATGGAGGGAGGAAGGAAGGAAGGCACAAGAAAAAAAGTGAAGGACTGGGGATGTAGCTGAGTGGCACAGCACCTGGCTGGCAAGTGCAGGGTCATGAGTTCGATCCCCCATACCAAAAAAAAGAATAAAAGTGCAAACAGAAGAAAAAAATGGAAACAAATCTTTTGTGTATAGGCAGGGAAGGGGACTTGAGGGATGGAATGGGATAAAATAAAATTTATTTAAAATAAATAATTTAAAATAACACAAAATTACAAATATCGGTGAGGATGTGGAGAAATGGGAACTTGTATGCTTTAGATGATGAAAATGTTGGCCGAGGATTTAGCTCAGTGGTTTTGTCACCTGCTGCGCAGGGCCAAGGACCCGAGTTCAATCCCCGGTACCAAAAAAAAAAGAAAATGCAAACTGTTATTTCTAATGTGGAAAACAGAATGGCACTCCTCCCTCCAAAATAAAAATAAAAATTGAATTATCATTAAAAAGTACATAAACAAATAAAAGTCAAAGGTACAAAAGAATTTCCCTCCTAAACCAGGAACAAAGCAAGGATGTCTACTGTCAATATTTCAACACCGCACCATAGGCCCTTGATGGTACAATAAGGTAAGATAGGGCCAGAGATTTAGCTCAGTGGTGCCTCCGCCTGCCCCACAAGTGCAAGGACTGAGTTCTATCCTAGGTACCAAAAACCAAACAAACAAATAAAAAATAAATAAATAAGGTAAGATAAAGAAATACAAGGTATACAGATTAAAAAGAAAAAATAGCACAGGGCTGGGGATTTAGCTCAGTGGTGCCACTGCCTGCCTCACAAGCGCAAGGTCGAGTTTGATCACTGTACCAAAAAAAAAAAAAGAAAATGAAAAAATAGCACAAAGATAGGCGGACCATTGGGACCGAGAGGAGAACTCAAGAAAAAAAAACCCTCATGCATCGATAAAATGACCTTTTGGTAAGTGTACCAAGAATACACAATGAGAAAAGGACATTTCTTCAACAAATAATCCTGGGAAAATTGGATATTCACACGCAAGACTGAACATGGATCTTATCTTACAACTTATACAAAACTTCTGCTCTGTGAAACATAATGTTAAGAGTATAAAAAAATAAGACAAGCAACAACAATGACCACAAAAGCAAGCCAGACTAGGAGAAACACTTAAGTGATGAGACTCAGACCTTGACTATATAAGAAATTTTTCAAATTTGGTAAGAAAACAAATTGTAAAATGAGCAAAAAATCTGAACTACAGATACTTCAAAAAAAATACAATGATGGCAAATAAACATGTAAAAGATGCTCAATATTATTAAACATTAGAGAAATGAAAAATTAAAATCACAGTATAATGCCACAGTGCACATATAGAATAGCTAAATTTATGACAATACCCACTATTGGAGTTCTCATCATTACTAGTAAGAATACTAACTAGCACAGCCCCTTGGAAAATAGTTTTGCATTTCCTTCTTACAAAGTTAAAACATATACTTACCATACAATCCAGCAACAGAAATGCTAGGTATTTAGGCAAACAGTTTTTTTTAAAGGGGTCTTGTTGTGTAGTTTAGGCTGGCCTTGAACTCACTATGTAGCTCAGGCTGGCCTTTAACTTATGGCAATCATCCTGCCTCAGCCTCTCAACTGCTGGGATCACAGGTGTGTGCCCTAAACCCGGCAAATATATTTTTATACTGATTAAAAACCTGACAGTGGGCTGGGGATTTAGCTCAGTGGCACCGTGCCTGCCTCGAAAGCACAAGGTCCTGAGTTCAATCCCTGGTACCAAAAAAAAAAAAAGAAAAAGAAAAACCTACTGATACACACAAACACAAACATGAATGAATGTCAAATGCAGTATCCTAAATAAATTAAGCCAAAGAAGGTATAATTTCATTTATATGACATTCTTCAAGAGGCAACATTACACAAACAGAAAACAGCTCAGTAGCTGTCAAAGGGTGGGAGTGTGAAGAAAGGCTGACTACAATATGCACAAGAAAATTTGCAATCCAACTATATTATAACTGTGGTGGTAGTTACACTGACCAATCCTAACCCTAGAACATTAAAAAGAACCTGCTAATTTCCAGTCTTATACCTTTTTCTATGCTCTAACTGAAGGGCAAAGAGAGTATAGCCTATAGCCCAGTGATGGCGAGCCTTCTAGAGATGAGTGCCCAAACTGCAACTCAGAACCCACTTACTTATCACAAAGTGCCAACACTGCAATTAAACCTGAATACTGAGGTTTTAGTTCAGAAAAAAATAATTCCTACATTAGTATCTTTTTTCCTAAAAGAAAAACTCAGTAACACATGTGTCATAGGTTCGCCACCACTGGTATAGTCTGTCCCTCATTTGTATATAAAACCAACTTATAAACCCAAATCCAAACAAATGGCCATTCTATGACTATCCCATGATTATTATTATTTTTTTTTTTTTTTTGGTACCGGGGATCAAACTCGAGTCCTTGCACTTGCGCAGCAGGCGACGAAACCACTGAGCTAAATCCCCGGCCCTATCCCATGGTTATTAAAACAAAGTGCTAGCCAGGTGTGGTGGTGCATGCCTGCGATCCCAGCACTCAGGAGGCTAAGGCAGGAGGACTGCTGCAAATTCGAGGCCAGTGTGGACTACACAGCAAGACCCTGTCTCAAAAAAATTAAAAAAAAAAGTGCTACCAGATCTCATGTAGACAACAAGCTTACCTAGTATATTCTGATTTCCTTTACAGTCAAATAAAAGAATATCTGCCTCTTTTTGTGATGGTTTCAAAACAATAGTGTTATAGTTAACTGCTTTTCCTTTTGCTGTAACTCTAAAATACCACCTAAAATAATTTTTCAATATTTTCAAAATACGAGCCAGGTATGGCGGTATGTGCCTGTATTCCCAACACTTTGGAAACTGAGGCAGGAGGATGGTGAGTTGGAAGCCAGCCCAGACCACATAGCAAGTTCAAGGATGGTCTGAACTACAGTGACTCTATCTCAAAAAAAAAAAAAAATTCAGAATTTTACACTTATATTGTAAAACTTATATGTCAGGGTTTTTATTTTTGGGAGGGGTTGTTTTGCAAGGTTTTTTCTTTTTTGAGATAGCATCTCACTACGGAGTTCAGGCTGGCCTCAAACTCACAATGATCCTGCTGCCTCAGCCTCCCAAGTGCTGGGATTACAAGCATGAACCACCATGCCTGGCTACAGTTTATTTTTAAAATATCTTTACTCATTCCAAACAAGTACTTCCTTGAATTTGCTACTGAACACAGCAAGTAACCAAACTCCTTTCTTTTTTGTTTTGTTTTGTTTTGTTTTTTGGTACCAGAGATCGAACTCAGGACTTTGCACTTGCAAGGCAGGCACCGGAACTAAGCTAAATCCCTGGCCCTATTTTTTTTTTTTTTTTTTTTTTGGTGACAGGGTCTCGATTCATAGTCCAGACTGGCCTTGAACTCACTATGTAGCCCAGGCTGGCCTCGAAATCTGGGTGATCCTCCTGCCTCAGCATCCCAAGTGTTGGGATCACATGCACGTGCCATCAAGCTGTGCTCTGAAAACTCCTTTCACAGACAGTTGGGACAAATTCTAAGAAACGTTGCTTGTTCAACCATAACAATTAAATTGTTCCATTAATGTATGCTAGTCCTAATTAATATTTCTCTCCAAGTACTACCATCTAGGATTTGAATCCCAACTGTTGAAATTAAGTGACATACTGTAATTTCATAATAATGTTATCACAATTAGACAAATTTAAAAATTCCAATGACTAAAACACTAAAAGATAACCAGGATAATTGTAAAACACAGCAAATGTAATGAGTAGTTACTTAACATTGTACAAGTACTTACAATACAGCTATTCCAAAATATTTTACCAAAGTCAAGAATTTTTTAATTTAGCAGTCTTCATTTACCAGCAAAGTGGAGAGATGATAAATCTGGGACATGGTATAGTTCCCACAACTGCATGTTATAACAACTGTAATGAAAAGTTGAATTATAGAATTCTTTCCTATAAGTTACAAAGGAAAAATTATTACAAGATTTAATTAAATAGAAAAAGTATTATATAGGATCTATACTACGAAATTTAAGTTGGGTTTCAATAACTGAGGACAATAATAATTTGGAAAGTTGTATTACAGTACTTGCCTCTGGTCCTTCATAGAATTCTTAAGGTTTTTTTGTTCATCTTCTTGAGGATGGAAGAAGCAGCTCCAACAGAGGTCAGCTAGTGTGGCACATTTCCCACTTGCTCATCCACAAAGAACAGCCTCTGATTCTCAAGAACTCACCTGTAAAATAAATTTGGAAAGATGTCTTGAATCACACATTAAAGCATGTTCATATGATATGATTTATTTCTTTTACTTTTTAGAATTGTTAAGAAAACAATCAGACATTGTGGCTGGGCGTGCAGCTTAGAGGCTAAGAAAGTGCATGCACTAAAAGGCCCTGGGTTCAGTCACAAAAAGCACAAAAAAAAGGAAGAAAAGGAGGAAAGGAAGAAAAAAAAAGATAGAAGGACAAAGATTTTATGTAATACTGGAGTGTTTATCATTGTTTCTACATTGTGGGGGATCTAAATTTCTGACAACAGAAAAAAAGTAAATACATTGCACTGTACTGGTGAAACTGAAGGCTTATGGAGTCTAAAGAAACATTTTTAAGGACTATTTTACAACATAGAACTTATGTTCACATTTTGTTAGGAAAAAGGTCACATATAAAATTACATAGCTCAATCCTCATTAATTTTATAGTCAGGAAAAAAGTTTTTTGTTTTTTTTTTTGTACTGAGGATCAAACTCAGGACCTGGCACTTGTGAAGCAGGCAGCGGCACCACTGAGTTAAATCCCCAGTCCAAAGCTTTTTTGAATTAACATTTTTGCCTGATAAACTTGGTTGAGCACACTAATCTACACTGTAGATCTTGACTACCAAAAGCTAGAGGACACAGTAGGAAAACTGTCACTCACAATTAAGGTTTTAGGCATTCTGTACTTGACATGGGTTCATTTTCAATCAGCCTCACATATCCAATTTTAAAATAGAAAAATAAAGTAGTGCCATCCTTTTGGATATTGTATGTGACATTCAACCAATAACTGACATTGAAAAAAGGACTAAAAAAACATTTAAATACATTTCCAGTCACAGCAGGATTGTGACTTTGAGACGAGCCTGAACTACATGAGTGTCTCAAATAAACAAATCCATTACAGATTTCCATTATGTTCATCTAAAAAATAAAAATAAGTCGATGTCTGAATTTGTTGGAAATGACTTCAATATAATTTTAAAATTTTGAGAAGGTACTCTAAAAATCAAGGAGAAAAACTTTATATAAGGACTGAAACCAAAAAGAAATAATCAGCTGTTTACGATTATCCATTATCCAATGTAAGAGAAGAGTCTGAAACTCAATTCTGTTATGTGGTCATGGACATGTTTCTTACCTTTTCTTAAGTCTTCATTTCCTCACTCATAAAATAAAAATCACAACTTACTAAAAGGATTGTAATAAGCATTAAACTGACAGCATAAGATCTGGCACACAACAGAGAACTCAAGAAATAGTTACAAATAATATTTTAAATAGTAATCCAGTTATCTAGTGTTTAATTTCAATTGTTAGCCTTTTTAAAGTAACTCCCACATGCCGGGCATGGTGGTACATGCCTATAATCCCAGCACTGGGGAGGTTAAACCAGAAGGATCTCCTGAAGTTCAAGGCCAGCCTGAACTACCTAAAGAAATGCTATCTCAAAATAATAATAACAATAAAATAACTCCCACAAATAACACTAGCTCTACATTTACTGAGATCCAAAATGAACACTACATCCTTGCATCATTTGTAACAATTAATTCCACCAGACAGGTGTCACTGAATTAATCAAATTGGTAGGTCCTTGAACGAAGCCGGGGTTGGTTGGTTTTGTTTTGTGGTGCCGATGGAACCCAGGCCCTTAACTTAAGCTTTCTGCCACTGAGGTGTCTACACCCTCAGATCTGAACACAGGTTTAATATTGAACTGAAAACTCATTTTGATTTTTTTTGGGGGGGGGTACTGGGGATTGAACTCGGGACCTTGCACTTTAAAGGCAGGCGGTGGAAACACTGAGCTAAATCCCCGGCCCAAAAACTCATTTTTAAATAGAGAATGAGGGATGGGGTGAAAACACTGACTTTCCTATTATTTAAAGAGGTGGGTGTGGTGGCGCCCACCTGTGATCCCAGCACTTGGGAGGCTGAGGTAGGATTGCCAGGAGTTCAAGGCCAGTTTAAGAGAGTTTTTTGAGACCCTGCCTGTCTCAAAAAACCAAAAAAACAAGGCTGGGGATTTAGCTCAGTGGTGCTGCTGCCTGCCTCAAAAGCTCAAGGTCCCATCTTCAATCCCCGGTACCAAAAAGAAACCAAAAAACAACAAAAAAGAGGAAACCTAAAAAATAAAAAGTATATGCCTATAACCCCGCCACTCCGGGAAGCTGACTTGGAAGGATAAAAAATTGAACATTCAGGGCCAGGGATTTAGCTCAATGGTTCCGCAGCCTGCCTCGCAAGTGCAAGGACCTGAGTTCAATCCCCAGTAACAAAAAAAAAAAAATTGAACATTTCAGCCCAGGCTGGGCAATTCAGTAGCAAGATCCTGTCTTAAATAAATAAATAAAAGCTGGAGATGTAGATCAGTGCAAAGGCCCTGGGCTCAATCCCTAGTAGTGGGGAAAAAAAAAAAAAAGACAGAGATGAGAAGAAACAAAATTAGTAAGCACATAACCATCCCACAGTTGCACCTAGAGAAGGCTTTTATGAGTCGGGAGAATGCAATCAGGACAGTGAAACTTCGTGGAAAAGGTTCTATATGAAGAGCTTCCTTTGATTCCCATTGATCACTACTTAACAAAGCAGAAGACTGCAAACTTTAAAAATTACATTACAGTACCCCTGTATGTGCACGCAGCATAAGAGAAATGTCCCAGATATTCAGTGACTCAAATGTTTCAAATGTTAAGTGGCAGATTAAATCTCTATCACCCAAATATTCCCAGCTCCTACATAGTCATCAATTCTTAGATGAATACCTAATAAAATTCTGAACTTCACATTTTAGAACCAAAATATAAGTTTTCTCTCCTCAATAAGACTATACAGTACATTTTTCTTGGTGCAGGTCATTAAAAAATTGTACTACCACTTAGAACTTTGGAAGCTCCACCACCCCTTCGTTCTAACTGTATTTTACTGATGTATCCTCCCAACACGTACGAGTGAATGTTGGACCTCAATTCCCTCAAGATTCTTCCTGAGGCAGGAGGATCGCCGAGAGTTCGATGTCAGCCTGGACTACGCAGCCAGAGACGCAGGTTCAAAGTTTTTTTCCTGATCACGTACTATATGTAAAAGATTACGGATAGATGTAATCGCTACACAGCTACTAGGGTGCTGTTTGCTGTTTTGCAATTTCTTCGAAAAGCAAAGTGTCACGCTGGGAAGGAATCACTGAGCGCTCTCGTGCTAACGGGAGTCAGCCTCCCGAGCAATTACAACCTCCCTGTGCTTACACGCGCGCGGGGCTGCCGGAAAGCTGGACGGCTGGAGAAGGATGGGGGGGGGGGGCAGGTCAGTCACCAACTTGGGGTGAGCGGACCGCGCAACCTGAGGACCTAAAGGGAGACTAGGGAAGCCGACAGCCGGTCGCTCCCGGAAGCACAGCGGTCGGACGAAGGTGTTTCTTTCGGAGAGAACACAGTACGCATTCCCTGGAGGAGTTCTCCGTACAAATTGCAACAATTCCTAAACAGGCCTGCAGCAGGGCTCACTAACCACCAACTAGAGAAGGGGCGGCCTCGCGGGGCGCGGAGCCTGCAAGGAGCCGGGCCCGGAGCGAACGAGGTGAGGGCGCGAGGCAGAAGTGTAGACCAGGATCAGTGTGGGCAGAGCACCCACCTGGGTGGGGGGGGTCCAGCCTTCTTCCCGCTTCGGCGGCCGCACGGACCCAGCCACCGTTCCCGCCACTTCCCGCCCGACTCGCCGCGCGCGCCTCCTCCCGACCCAAAAGCCTCCCCCGCGGGCTCAGAAACGCCCCGGCGCGCCCGCCCTCACGCGCCCGCCCTCACGCGCCCGCCTCCGTCCTCACATCTCGCGAGAGGTCCCCGCCCCGCCCCCAGCCAGTGAATGCGCGGACGAGAGAGGAGGAGGGCGCTCAGGCGAAAGCAGCGCGGCCGCCATTATCCTCCGCTACTCTGGGCACCGACCTCGACGTTCTGCCTCATCACACTTGTTTCCGGCGTATAGGTAACTGGAGTCACTGGGGTTTGGGTATTATGAATTGAGGCAGGGATTTGGCCTCTTTGCAAGGCTGCGTTGACTTTTTCTAAGGCTGCCTTTTCTCGGGCCCGGGCCCTTAACAGCCTGAAGGGAGGCGCCGGCGGGAGGCGCAGTTTTGGGGCCCTCCGTCGCGGTGATTGACGCGGCCTTGGGCCAATCGCCTCGCCCTCGCACCATCGCTGAAACCTGGGCAGCCAATCGGGCGCGACGGCGGGGTAGGAGGGCGCGAGGAGGCGGGGGAGGGGGGCCTGCGTTTGCTCCGTCTAGATCTCACCGTATAGGCGGCGCGGCGGTGAGGGCAGGCGGACTTGTGTGGTGAGGAGCGGGGCTGCGTGAGCGGAGCGTGGGGGGCGAGGCTCGGACCCCAACCTGCCGGCTTGAGGGAGGCAGTCTGGGCTGCTCTGTAGTTGGCCGCCTCGGTAGGAGACGTTGCGTGGGCTCCCCTCCCCCACGCCGCCATTTCCGTGAGCGAGCGTCTGCGGTTTGCGCGTTGGTGCTGGAGGCTTCAGAGGGTCGAGAGGCACGATCTGTGGACGAGCCGTAGTCGTGCAGAATTGGGAGCCGGGCACTTGTGTAGGAGGAACAGCGGGCGGGCGAGGAGGCAGGGAAGCGAGGCGGGCGCGCCGCGCTCTTTGTGAGGGCCTAGTGGCCGGCTTACTGACCCGGCGCGGCCGCGGCGGGGTCGGCGGCTCCGAGGCTTTGTCTCGCGGTGGGGGAGGTGCGGGCCGCGGGCGAGCCGCGTGGTGGGGGGGGAGGGGCCGCCGGCAGCACCTCGAGCGCGCAGGCGCCATTACGGCCGCCATTTCCTGTAGCCCGGGCGCTAGAGGCGCGAGGTGTGAGAAGGACAGGGCGGGACTGCGCTCGGCGGGGAGAGCTGCTGCGTATTTAGCGGATTGGGGGGGTCTGAGGCGAGCCGCGAGCGGCAGCGTCTCTGTAGCTAGACCCTGCTGGTTTGGGGTAAATTCTTTTCTCTAGATCTTTCTCCACACCTGTTTTAACTGAATGATGGGCTGGGAGGAAACCGTTTTAGTTGGGCGTGGAGGGGGGGGCCGATGCTGGCCGACGGGCTGGGAGCGGGAGGAATGCTGAGACCGGAGTCGGCACCGTCGGCTGTGTGATTGTCGGGCGGTATTCTCCATAGCAGCGTTTAAAAGGCTTTCTAGTGGCGGCGTTAGCGTGAAGAACCTTCATGAGCCTTGTCGAGTGGTAGTTATTTATTCCTTTGCTGGGTCAGTTTATTGCCTATCGCTTGCATTTGCCCTTGTGTTTGCAAACTCGGTATTTTTGAGAATAGCGTTTCCAGTCATCGGTCGGGAGGAAGAAGTGATTCGAAATTTTAATATAAAATTAGTTTGAAAAAGAATAAGCGCAGTTGGGCCGGGGATTTAGCTCAGTGGTTCCAGCACTTGCCTGGCAAGCACAAGGACCCGAGTTCGATCCCCGTACCAAAAAAAAAAAAAAAAATAAGTGCAGTGTACCTTTTCATGAACTTGGGCTTCGTGGACAAATTTAGGTACACAGGCTTATTATCCCTTTTCACTCTTTAATGAAAATAACGTGTAGAGCAGTTTTCCATGCTAGGACACAACCCGTGCTAAAATATATATGTATATATTTTTTTCTCGCCAAAAAGCAAACAATCTCCTTTGACTCGTTAAGCAGTGGCTTGAATTTTAAAAATCCAAAAATGCAGTCAACTTAAAGAAAGAAATAGCTATTTGTTGTGCTCAAATTCGTGGTGTGATCAGAAATGAGAATTCAAGCAAAATTGATTGTGTTGGTTTTTATAGGCTACTGCAGAACTAGTGTATCAATTGTTGGTCCTACCAAGAAAACTACAGTTCTGCTCTGCAAGGATATATAATAACTCCTACGTTCTACAAGCAGAGTCTTTTTAAAAATAATTAGCAAGATGCACAGCTTACGTTCCAATAAGGGAAATGTATTTAGCTATTTCGTTTTTCAACAGATTGGTGTATCCATTTAATACAAGAAAATGGAAACTGAGCAGCCTGAAGAAACCTTCCCCAACACTGAAACCAATGGTGAATTTGGTGAGAAGACATTTTAATTATAACAATTGAGTATTTTCTGTTCTATTAATTTTATTACTTTATAATTGCCATGGTCTAAGGCAGTATCATTGCCTCTTCATAATTTTAATTTCTAGTCTGAAGTGTATTTGTCGGCTACATTTTAGATTTTATGGGCACGAGGTAACCGTGCTTTGCATGGTAACGACAAAAAATAAATTTTGTAATTTTTAATATTTCAAAGTATTAAAGATGTTTTATGTTGGATCCTATTACAAGGGAGGGTAAAGGCCAAGACTGCTAGTGTTTATATAGTCTTTTTCTTTGAAACATACATGGGATTAGCAGTAAATCCTTTCAGCCTACAGGTTTAAACTAAATTGTAATTGAAAATATTTTTTCCCTGAAGATTTTTTTTTTTTAATTTGAACTGTTGCCTTCTAGGTAAACGTCCTGCAGAAGATATGGAAGAGGAGCAAGCATTTAAAAGATCTAGAAACACCGATGAGATGGTTGAATTACGAATTCTGCTTCAGAGCAAGGTGTAAAATTTTGTACTTGAAAATTTGAAGGTGGTTTACACCAGAAATTAAAGCTTAAATTCTGGTGTGGCTCTGGGTACTTTCGGGGCTTTTAAAGTTTGAAGATTTGTGTGGCTCTTTGTAAATAAAACTTGTAAATGCTGATAGTAGTGTCACTTTACTAATTATTAAGGTGAATGCCCCTTGCCTACATACACTAAGCCACTGCAAGTAAAGCTGGAAGAGCACAGAGGGAGTAATTCTTAAAAAGTGTTAAAGGATTAAATCTTGTGGGCTCCCTGAGAAGCATCTTAGTTAATATTTGTCTGAGTCACGACAGGAAAGTACTTTAATCTATACTTAAATTTTATGTGGTATCTGGCATTCAGAATATTTCAAAGCTCAGTCTTAAAATGTTTACCACTTAGCACATAGAGAATCTTTGTTGTCCCCCTGTCGGTATCCAGTCCTATATATATAGCAACAGAAATTAGAGATTTGGAGGGTGGGGGTTAAAGCACAGGTACACTAACTCTAGGGAAAGGCAAAATAATTGTGTATGTCTTTTCTAGAATGCTGGGGCAGTGATTGGAAAAGGAGGCAAGAATATTAAGGCTCTCCGTACAGACGTAAGTATTGATTTAAGCTACTAAACAAGTGGGTTCATCTAATGTTTCTAGAAGTTTAAAGGTTTACATTAATAGAAATCACTTAATGTAGCTACACACCATTTGTAAAAATTGGGTTACATGATTTCGAGGTTTGCCGTTTGTTTTAATAAAAACCCAGATTGGGTAGAGAGAAAGGTTTATATTAAACCTCTTCACCTTCTGTTAAGATTCCACTGAATTATTCACTTGAAGCCAGATAACATCTTAACTAAAAATATTGGCAGTGTTAAAATCCTAATATCACTTCCCAAGCGTGTGAATCAGTTACAGTATTTCTGAAAACCAGTGTAGGAGGCTGTTTAAATCCAGAAATATTTATTTCCTTTTTTAAAAAATAGTCCATCTATTCTTTTAGCAGCTTGCACAGTGAAGCACAGAGTTCTTAAAATTGAGGTTGCATGATTTAGATGTGGAGAAACAATAGAGTAGGCAAGTAATCATGTACTTGGAATATTCTCAATGCCTATTATTTGAGTCTTCGTATTTTATAGTGGGTTGACTCTTGTGATTAGACACATTAAATGTTGGCAGCAAACAGAAATGAACATATTTATAGGACTCAATTACACCAAAATTTCTAAATTTTTTCTTGTAGTGTATACATTTCTTAATGTTTTTCTTGCTGAAATTGAGGCAAATAACTTTGTGTTGAGTACTTATTTGACAGTATTTCATTTCTCTCTTGGTCGCAGATCTTTGTATGTTTCTCTTGATTACTGTAAACTGAACTTGAAAATTTAAAATTTTTACAGACCTTCCTGTTAAAAGAGCTAGGATGCATTTTGATCCTCAGGAAACCAAACCAGTCTTTTATTAGTTGCGGTTTTTTGGTGTGGGAATTTTTGTTGTCTTTTATAAACCTCTCTCCTTTTAATCCAGATGTTCTGTAGTATTATCTGGGTTATTAATTTCCCCACTTTCCTCAAGAATTTCAGTAAACTTTTGAGTCAAGACAGGTTTTGTGTCTACCCTCATGAGCCAGCCTGCTACTGAAACATCGTTTGTTTTATTTTTTTATTTATTTTTTTTTAACAGCTAGAACCATCATTTAAGATCCTTAAGTGTTAAGCCACGATCAGATATAGAGAAGTCCATTATTGTGTTAGTCTTCAGAGCAACTTAAGCTTGTTTCATTAATTGAGAGTATGAGTATAGTTTGTATTAAATTAAAATTTATTGCTTTTCCCCCTTTTCCCTCTCCTTGTTTTTTTGGCCATATATCTCCGTTGCCCATGTACTGGATCGACTTACCCCTGCGTTGCCCACCATGACGTTGGCCCATCCGCCCCTGAACGCCCATGTGAAAACCCTGGTTGGCTATGCCCAAAAATGTGCTCGTTGCCAAACGGGTACCATACTTGACAACTTCTGATTGAATGCCCATGCCCAATGCCAACATCCACGAACGCCAATGACCAATGCAGTACAATGCCAGTGTTTCAGTCCCAGACAGCAGTGGCCCCGAGCGGTATGTCCCAACAGTTTATGCCTCACTGCCTGATTAGAAAGAGAGAAATGTATTTTATTACCTGCCTTTTATATAATTAAATAGTATCCCCTTTAGACGGTGTATTGTTTTTCAAGTTTCTGTCTTATTTTCCCCATTAAGTCTTTTTGTCACTGAACTTTTACCGTGAGTTGCCCACCCAAACGATCCACTAATTTTATTTCGATGGAAGGAGCACAGCTTCAAGTGTTGCATATTTGCTGCATTGTAAATCAGATTGTTACCAAAATAGTCTCTCGCTCTGTCTTTGTGGCCCACCTTGCTTCCCAACATTGCCTGTTCATAATTTTTTCTGATAAAATGCTAACTCTGGTTCACTCTTCTTCACTTCTCATTTGTGTTGTCTTTGTTTTGTCTTGCATTTGTATTTGTTTTCTTGCAGAGCCCATTAGTAATCTTAATTGCTAACTGGTATCCATAACCTTACTTCAGATACAAATGTTCACCACTTGCATATTCCCCCACTTTGCCTAAGAGAAGGTGTGCCAGTTTTACCAATGTAACAGCGAGGGTATCCTTAACTTGGTGGCGGGGAACGTAAATATTCAACTCTGCTTCAGTTCTGGTCAGTTTATTGCCCACTTAATCTGAGCCCTTCCAAAAGCCCATTCTTTCTGTCTCTCTCTGCAAGTCTCCTAATACTGTTACCATGTCTGTATGGGGCATAAAATAAAATGCATGTGAAAATCTATAAATAGGTTTCTTTAAATGGGGAAAATTGTTAATGTTACTCCTGTAAAAGTTTGTATGACTGCTGATGACAAACACAAAACTCATTTTTCTTTTCCACCTTTTTTGTACTATCTGGTATTTGTGATGTTTGGCAGCATATTGAGTATCAGTGCTGATATTGAAACAATTGGAGAAATTCTGAAGAAAATCATCCCTACCTTGGAAGAGGTAGGCTTACTTTTTTCTTTTAATATATTTGGCAATATGGGGGGTATAATAAAATATGATTTATTGGGACATCAGGGAGGGTGGATATAATAGTTTGTAGCAGCAACACCTTACAGCCTGCCACACAATGTGTAGTATTATTATACACAAGTTATATTTTTTAAAAATTCAAGCTGGCCACTCAAATATGAACTACTTGTGGTCATGTGTTTGACATACATTTTAAAGGCTTTAAAGTGTAATTAGAAATATTGTGGGGATATGTTGAAAAGGAGAATGGTAGCAATGTTTTGAGGATGTTGAGATTCTGTGTCACTTGTTAAAAGTATTTTATATTGAATCTTAGTGTTAGATAAGTTTCTTATTTAATTATAGATTTAAACTGTTGTAGTAGCTTTACCAATATATGCGACAATAGCCTGATCACACTAGACACTTAACCTATTACTCTTATTTTTCTACTTTCAGGGCCTGCAGTTGCCATCACCCACTGCAACCAGCCAGCTCCCGCTCGAATCTGATGCTGTGGAATGCTTAAATGTATGTCATAGTGCCATTGAACCCCACTGAAGTATGGAGCCTGGCCCATAGGATCAATTTTATTTTTAACATAGTGTACTTTTCCCATGTCTATAGAAAAAGGCTTAAAAACATGATACATAAATGGTCTTACAACTCACTGTTGACCCTGCTCCATGCTGCAGTGGGAATTAACTACATTTGCAAAGTGCTTTGCAGTCATTTTTATTATGGTGTTATTTGAATGTTAATAATTTTGTGGTAACAGCGACATGCTAAATGGCTGCAGTGTGGGTATGGTGTTGCAGGACCTGAAAATAAAATAGTTTTTTAAGGTGGTGCAGAATGTCCTTTTTGGGCCTGGCTATTGAGGATAATAAGCACATAACTGGTAAAGTTATTGAAATATAAATTCAGGTTGCTCACTGCAACAATGTAATTGTTAATGCTTTTAGCTGATAAGTGTGTTGTTGGGGGATTATTAATGGGAGACTAAAATTTTACAACTCTCCCTCCACAGTACCAACATTATAAAGGAAGTGATTTTGACTGTGAGTTGAGACTGTTAATTCATCAAAGTCTGGCAGGAGGAATTATTGGGGTCAAAGGTGCTAAAATCAAAGAACTTCGAGAGGTAAAGGCATTTTTGTTTGTTTTCTGTTGCCATATTCCATACTGGAAAATTAATTTTTCATATAGTGTTTTAAGTTCAAGAGTACTAGAAAATTTTGTCACAAATCTTACACCATTGTTGGGTCCTATACTTATTATCTGTGGTTTTATAGTGAGAAACTCAAAATGAAAATCGGAACATAGAAAATGTTTTTTCAGTGTATTCTAATGAATTTTTTTTTTTATGAATTTAACATAGAACACTCAGACAACAATCAAGCTTTTCCAAGAATGCTGTCCTCATTCCACTGACCGAGTTGTTCTTATTGGAGGAAAGCCTGATAGGGTTGTAGAGTGCATAAAGATCATCCTTGACCTTATATCTGAGGTACCTTCAAAGTGCTTTGTTTACATAAAATTTCATTAAACAGATTTCTTCGTAGTTTGAGGATGTTTAAATAGTCTGTAACATCCTTTGCCTAGAAATTTTATATGTATAGCCTTCAGTCCTTCAAATGAAGTCCCTACAATGGTGTTCTTATAGGACATTATGCAGTTCTCATTTAATGGCTTCCGTATAGATTGTAAGCTTACCCAGGATGATGACCTTAACCCTCGGGATTGGTCACTTCTTGGGTAGACCCCATGTGGCTTTGTAGTTCATAGTGGGAATTGTCTTTCATTTCTTCCCTCAGGTAGTAAAATTCACTTTTATTTAGGACTTTTGTTGTGAGGGTGGCCAATAGTACTTTTGAAAATCCTTTTATGATCTTTGTACTCTTGTCCCTGCCTCTACTACCTTCTGGGGAAAACAACTTTGGAAGAAGGGTGGTGTAAACTAAGGCTCTTTTTATAGTTACTGTATTTTTGTTTTTAGTCTCCCATCAAAGGACGTGCGCAACCTTATGATCCCAATTTTTATGATGAAACTTACGATTATGGTGGTTTTACAATGATGTTTGATGACCGCCGTGGACGGCCTGTAGGATTTCCCATGCGGGGAAGAGGTGGTTTTGACAGAATGCCTCCTGGTCGGGGTGGGCGTCCCATGCCTCCCTCCAGAAGAGATTATGATGATATGAGCCCTCGTCGGGGACCACCACCCCCTCCTCCTGGTCGAGGTGGCCGGGGTGGTAGCAGAGCTCGGAATCTTCCTTTACCACCACCACCACCACCTAGAGGAGGGTAAGTTTTTTTAATTCATAAATTAAAATACAAGAGGCTGCATTCACTGGTTGATGGGTTACTTGTTAATACGTGAGGCAGGTAAACTGAAGTTATAACAAGTGTTATGCTTGCAGAGATCTAATGGCCTATGACAGAAGAGGAAGACCTGGAGATCGCTATGATGGCATGGTAAGAAAATCTGTTTTTAATCAGGGCTGTAGTGGGTCTTGAGAATTAAGGTAAAATTTTGTTGAAGATTATAACTGAAAGGCTTTGTACTTACTGTTAGGTAACCATTTAAATCATCGCTTCTATTTTTTGCTACTTGAAAATAATGTCTTGAGCAGTCTTTGTTCCTTTAAAATACCTAACTGCTGCCCCGATGTATTTGTTCTAGTACTATAAAACGATTGGGCACATAAAAATGGTAGTGCTGTGACCAGTATAATGCAGGCTCATGTTAAAATACTTCTCTCTTAACACAGGTTGGTTTCAGTGCTGATGAAACTTGGGACTCTGCCATAGATACATGGAGCCCATCAGAATGGCAGATGGCGTATGAACCACAGGTTGAGTATCGTTGAGTGTCTGTACATGAGCATTTCAGATGCTTACCTACTTACCCCAATAAGTCTTTTTTTTCCCTCCCCTCGTGAAATGTTTCTTGGAAGGCTGTGTATCTGGATCTTATTTTTTCCTTCCCCGAGGATTGTTTTCTGAAAATTTGTTTGTTGGAAATACACTAGGGAGGAAATGGAGGATTTTTTACTATTTCCTAAACTGTGAAGGATTTTTATGTACGACATTAATGAGTTATTTAAGGCAAAGTAATTCTCTTTTTTTCTTTTTTTTAGGGTGGCTCTGGATATGGTAAGTTTTTTTTCCTTTATGAAATCAAACGTTATTTCATAACTTTCTAAAATGAACTTAATGCTCATTATTTAAATCAGATTATTCCTATGCAGGGGGTCGTGGCTCATATGGTGATCTTGGTGGACCTATTATTACTACACAAGTAACTATTCCCAAAGATGTAAGTATTTTTAATATACTACAGGACTGTTTAATGAAACACTTTCATTATTACTGCTTCTGTGAGTTTTCTTTAAATTCAAAAGGTTTTAATAAATCTCCATTTAGGATTGAAACTATGTTTTAAGGACATCAGTGAGGTATTCTGTGGTTTGAGTCTTTGCAAATGTACTTTAGTGCAATTAAAACCAGAGGGTTCTGACCTCTAGCTTATTAAAGAAAATGTTAGCACATGTAGTATACATTGATAATGCAAACTTTGGTTTAGGGGATTAGTTCATGAGTCATGCTGAATAAGTTATCTCAAAGTTAATATTTTCTTCATGGTCATTGAGAACACAGTTTTCTTTTAAAATCATCATAAACTTGTATTTAAAAATCTTTACAGCTGGCTGGATCTATTATTGGCAAAGGTGGTCAGCGGATTAAACAAATCCGTCATGAATCAGGAGCTTCTATCAAAATTGATGAGCCTTTAGAAGGATCCGAAGATCGGATCATTACCATTACAGGAACACAGGACCAGATACAGAATGCACAGTATTTGCTGCAGAACAG